TAATACAGAGTGTTGTACTTATGTACTGTACAGTTGATAAGTTAGTGGCTGATGATATCAAGGGGCCTAGCCTGCATGACAAACTCCACTGTGTGAGAGAGTTGTATCTGGAATAGGAAGAAGGCAACACGGCGTGAGAAAGAGGAGTTTGAACAAAAAGGGAAGTGCCGCGTGGCACCATGTGTGAAAGCTAAAGTGTACAAGGTTAAAGCGGAGAAATGAAAAAGAAGGAAAGGTCCAAAAATTGTGTTATCGTAACAGCAGACGTGCACAGACCAGTTGACACATAGCATTGTTTGGTAGTTCTATATGGTAGTTCTATAGCACAGAGAGTATACAATTAAACTACAAACTGACAAGGAAAAAAAATGGTCAAAATTTGACAGTATTTGAGTGAAATGCTGTGCTCATCGTTGTTGACAATGAGTACGCTTGTATAGGTAACAATGGAGACACTGAACACCGAGCGAAGCGTGAGAAGGAATTACTTAAGTCTCAGCTAGGGTTAGGACCACACACTATATTGTCAACCTACAGTCTACTCTTGAGTGCTGCAGCAATTGCTGAAGCGCTGCAGCTAGGATTGAGCCGCCTAATTAGTGAGGAGGTTACGCTACAGCCCATTTACTAATTAGTAAGATTTTTGGTGTCACATAGGTGAGGAATATATATATATAATAAGGTGTGCGTTCAAAGGAGATAGTCCTGTGTTGTCAGTTCTACGAGCCAGGGATTTGTAACACACATAGCCAGACACCTTTAATCCGAAGGAGAGAAGCTGAAAAGCTTCCAGAACCTGGAAGGTGGCTGCAGTCTTGGGTTTGTCCGACATTGCAGGGAACCATTGCATTTGCAACAGCTGCTCAGTGCAACCTAGACCCTTCTTGCAAAAGTCAACACCAACCTTGTGGATGCTGCGTACGTCCACCACCACAAAGTTGTTGCCAAATCCTTTGGTTTTGTTGTAGCACTGATCACCGATTTTGTGGCCAAGCTGTATGTGCAAGCCCAACTGCTTAGAGAGATGTTCTCGTAAAAAACTCGCCATTACATTCCTGTTCCTTGTTGTTGAGGTGAGTACTTATAAGACAAAAGAGACTTACTTCTATTTGGTGCAAAGGGCTCCGCACGTGCTGATGGACGGTGCATGAAGCACAGAACAGCTCACATCCTAGGCAATCATTGCAGTGCAAACCAGCCTTCAAAACATTGTAGCCTTTGCAAATGGGACCACAACCGGTGCGGCCTTCAAGACATATAGTCTCCTGTAAATAACGGTCACGTGCAGACATCCAAACCATCTTGGGATGGTCCTAGGCCACATTACAACAGGTAAGCCACAGCAAGTGATATAAAGCTGTAGGACCCACCCCAGCAGTTCTGGTGCACTGTGGTGGGATGTTGAGAATGCTGAGGTCTACTTCAGATGGGAGATTATCAGCACATTCAGGAATCTGTGGCGCCATGACCATAGTTGATGTGGAAATGGCAGACAGTAGAGTTTCAGATAAAGGACCTAAGACCTTGACAAACAAGTGGTCGGGTTGTAATGCCCCATCTTTCTCAACGGTGTACTTAGTATATTGATGATATGCCACTCTTCCAGACCGGGCAGAGTAGATTTTGACGCCTTTAAGCTTCTTCTGTGGGAGATCATGTGGATCTGGGAGTTGTTTCATAGGAGGGACAGCAGTCATTGAATCCACAGAATGAACCTTGTGAACACGCATATTCTTAGGCTTCAGCTTTGGCAGGTTTAAGATTGAGGCGGTGGGCGAGGAGAGAGAAGAGTGAATGACCAACACTGAGAGATGGGATGGTGGAAGTAAACCTGTGAACGTGATAAAAGAGGTGTGAGACGTCGAGGGCATAGGTGTGGACAACAATGAAGGTCCTTTAGGCCCAGTAACCACTCTGTGAATCACATAATGATTCAGCCCCGGGCCCCTTTTCTTCTTTACACACCAGGCATTTTCTTCTGTTAATGTGTGTACAATAGTAGGTGGAATGGGCTGAGGTGGAGACCCTAAACATGCAATGTAGTCAGATACTGTGTACATATAATGCGGAGAGAACAACCTGATCCTCCCCTGATGCAAGTATGAAGTTGCAGGTGTGACAGCGAACCAAGATTCAATTTGCTGAGGGTCATAGAGTGGTCAAGCATTGGGGAAAATGGGCCACACTTTGTTAGATAGAGTCTGTAGTGCTGCCATTGCAGAATGAAACTTTGGTCTGCCAGCTTATTGAAGATGTTGGATATGGTAACTCTGTCATTGACAACTGTAAGGTGAAGTTTTCAGCATGACTTTACTCATACAAGGATAACAACTTACGCAATGACACAGAACCTGGGGCAGCACCCATGATAAAGATGGTGTATGGCTGCAGTGCAACAACTTTTTGCACACGGTCTATTCGTATGTGCAAAAAATGAGTTCAATGATGGCATTGAGGTGCAGCTGGGAGGAGACGTTCAAAGGCAAAGAAGCAAGGGAATGAAAGATAATCTGGTCACCATTGTCAGTAACCAAATATGAGAGATGAAAATGTTATGCACAATAAAGAAATATTAGAGTGATACAGCCCACTATTATGTGCTGTGGTGCCGGGGTGCCCCTCAAGACATTCAGGACACACCAAAGTTGTATGAAAGCAGGTATATGTGCAAGTAGTAGTAAAACACAGGTTGGAAGCCAGTGGCAATGGTAGAGTGCTTTGTCACCTGAAATACTAAGTGCAGGCCATCCTGCCTACTGGTCTCTGCAAGCACTATTATCCAGGTCACTATTGCAATGACAATTATTGAAAACATACCTCTCTTCTTGCTCATATCCTCACGATGAGGCCTTGAAAACAGTATGTTAGGCACACAGATGATCTCTGATAGACATACTCTGTTGTATCACAAGGTGCCACATACATAAAGCACCGCGTAGAGGCACCAGCCAGTCATTGCAAGATGAGGAAATTTAAGGTTTTTCAAGTTATCAAGAACTTGAACAGAGGTGAATACTGCTGGAGTTAGGATTTCCTATTCAGACAGTGTGGCTTGTCACAGAGTCCATCACAGCCACTTTCTTGGAAGATCTGCGCTTTCTTAGCTTCCTCCATAATATTTTCTCTTTCTTAATGCTCCTTGTGTTTACTCTTCCGGATATTTCCTCTCAGTTTTGGTTGAAGCATCCTTGATGCTCTTATCCACTTCTGTATGCTCCTGGCAGTGATAAATTCCCTGCAGGTCTGATTCCTACCGGAGACCCTCTCCTTTTCAGAAACACCACCACCTGTCCCATTGAGTATGGTTCACACATCATTCTCCCAAGAAACCAGCGCCACTCCAGAGCACAATGTAGACGGTAAGTGAGGACATGATTCCAGAGACTTTGTTTTCACCAAGTCTTGGCAGCTCTTCTTGATATTATCTCTTGGTTGCAATTTGCTACAGACATTGTGGAGCCCTTGGTTGCAGCTATCCTACGTGAGGCCACTGAGAATAAGGAGAATACCTACAAGTGGGAGACACTGCTGAGAGTACAAATGGTAAGTCACCTCTGCCTGGGTCTACCTTGATGGCACACTGATTATGTATTCTAGATATCGATGAGACACTTGCCTGTTCTAACAGTCACTACTGGTTTGATTTCCAGGCACCCCCTGCACCCCCTGCACCTGCTCCTGTGCATATGCGCCCTGCAGGCTCCCCCGGCATTAATAGTTGATGATATGCTGGCACCATTTTCCCTGCCCGTTGTGTCCACTGGGCACTACATTGTAACCTATTTTGGGATGCTGTTTATGCTCCCGGATAAAACACAGGATGACCCATATTATCTGATCACCAGAGGGTCCCAAATTGGCGTGGTAGCCAAGTGATAGGCCCCTTTTAGCCTTCATTTTGGTTGCTTGCTCATTACAAACCCTAGGCAGAAGGGCTCCCTGTTTGTTATTGGGGACAGTGGTGCCTCCTTCTCCAGGATCAAGAGTATTTTGCAAGGGTGGCGGCTAGTGAAGGAGGCTATCAACAATGGTGTGGCTGCTCAGATCTGAAAGGATGTGCACAATTGCCTGTAGGCTATGCTGTCTAATTACTATATATTGCTGTCTTTTTGTACTTGGTGCAATCACAAGTCCTTTTTTGGTTATAATGGTTCTCTAGATAACTTGCACAATGACCTGGGTGGTTGTTTTATCTGAAATAAGTCTGGTTATCATCAGTATAGCGGAGAAAGGCACTACTGTCTCTTTCCCCATGGCACGTTACTGCAGCTAACATGTCTGGTGGGTATCATGCATCACTCCTGCTGTTATCTCCCACAAAATTGTGTGTTATCTCAGACTACTCATTATGTTCAAAGTATAATATTCTACAGTTCTGTACAGACCTCCATGTTCATATAGTAGTTATATATGTATATGCTTAACACTTTTTCAGAGTACAACTTGAATATAAGCTGGTACAATGTGACATCTCATATAGTGTTTGTATTGGTATAGTATTTCTCCTATATCAGTCAGCACAAATAGATTGACTATTATATTTGGAGCCCAAACACCTCCTACTTCCTACACCTACATCCTCCATTCATCTGCTGTATTATCATACCTTGGGCTTTTACGCATACAGTCATAATCAGCATGGGATGACCAAAGCTATACAAAAGTCCCGAGGAGCGGGTCATTGCAGCTTGTGAGTACAGACAAAGATACTATATATTGTGTGTTTGAATTTCTCTACTATCTACTAACACATACCTAAAACTTTCCCTTGATGTCCACAACATTGAAGAAACAAGGAAGATATCAATAAGAAAATCATGCAAAATAATTATGGACAAAGGTGTCCTAATTCCACTAGGTATATTGCACATGCTTTTGGCAGTAGTTATCCTCACACTAGACTTCAAGGCCTTCACATAACAATGCACCCCTTGGTATCCCAACTGTGGCTCATTCATCAATTCATCATGTGTCCCTTCCCAGGCGCTATTACATCAGTGAGCAAAATATATCAAATCACTAAAGCAACGTGAATGTAAGTCCATAGCCCAGGTTGTATAAGAGCCAAGGTGAAGCCGCCACCACCATCAGTAATCATTGAAGCAGTAAAGACTTCCCTTGCACAGTCATCAGGAAGCTCTACAAAGGTGTTTGCAGAGTCCCTGCTGTCATTTTATGTGGCTTTGGGCTGCACTTTTTACACAGACATCTACAATGCCCAGGAGCATGCTGGGGAGCTGGAGTCCCAGGCATGTTGCATGGAGGCACAGACATATAAAGTCCATGGTGATAGTGAGATCCTTGTCAGCACGCAAAAGACAATGAGCAGGGTTAGAATACTTAATAGGGTTTTTGATGACCTTCTGTGGTCTGCTATAGAAGGCAAAGATCTTGGAAATATGCATAAGCGCGGACTGCTCCTCTATCTTAACATTCCCAAAATAACCTAGGTGTCTCATCTGTACTACTTGGCTTGCAATCATTCCACAACTATGTATTCATCTCATTTACAGGCTAGCGGCAATCACCACAAAAGCTGCACTATAATTGAACCTGCCAAAATTTTCAACTTTTCTCAGTGTTTTAAGACAGGATGGCCGGGTAGTGATCCACCATACACACTAGAGGCCGCCAAGTGGCGGCAAAAACCTTGCTTGTTGGTTGGTGTTTGATTCAACTGACATATTTGTGACATATGTTTTTGAGGTCTTATAAAGGTTGATTTTGTTGTTTCATTGGTAACTCTTCTTCTGTTATCTCCAGAGCCTTGTTACTATGGCTTGCCACAGTGGAATTGGGCAAGTTTGTGAGTTATATATTAATTCATTGTTGATGGTGTTTAATAAAATTTTAGTGAAATATTACCATTGCCCAGAATATGTTGGCTCTGTAGTTGATACACATGTTCCTATCAATATGTATAAGGCTCAAGGAACAAGCATCTTTCATGGTTTGTGGTATTCTATTTAGTCCTATGTTTTGGTTCTGACATGCTCATATTGTTAGATTTTTTGGAATATAGGAATTTTGATAATATGCAGCAGCAGTTTTGTATATTTGGCACTATGCAAATAGGATCAATCAAAGTGTTTGAGTTGTGAGGCTCGAAAAACATGTATTTATAGTATTTTGTTGTACAATAAAGGATTATTGTGTATTGTACTTTTCAAAAGTTATTATCTGTATTAGCTGGTTGCCTTCTTTGGTTATAGCTTCATCAGTCGGGTGGATTATCTGATTTTCTCTTCAAAAAATGAGTATTGAGCAAGAGGCAATGTTTAAAGCAGTGTACTGTTGTTCGGATGGCATAGTTGTTGAATTCAAGTCTTTCGATTGACTAGAGCCTTCTTCTATGAAGACATTATAGTTTTATGAAGTTGATGCTATCTTTTTACACACCTTTGTCTCCAGTGTTGTACTTTTCTTGTTGATATTCTAAAGCGTCAAATGGGCCACTTTGAAGGCTTTTTTATTTTACAGGGCTGACTTGTTCTATAGACCCAGCAAAGGAGTCAATTTTGTTATTTATCACGTAGTAGTGTATGGTGAAATACAATTCTGCCAAACTGTTGACTAGAGCAGTATTGAAATTTTCTGGCTCAATGTATACATTGTTTTGGTAAGCTCAGAGAGGGTTTACAGCATATTCTAACTTGATGCTGTCAAAATCTGGTTGGAATTCTCCAAATACAACCCATTTGTCAGTTTTGTCATTAATTTATCGCTACAGTAATTGCATTTGAATTGACCATAGCTATAACTGTCTTTGAAAAGAATGAGACTTATGCATTCCAGTTGGATTGTCATAGTCCTCCAAGTATACTTTGTTGCTTACTATTTTAGGCTGACTCAATGATTAGCTTACAATAAAGTCTGTAATTATTTATGCTCACTTTTTTGGTAAAAACAGGAGCACAGAATCAGATATTGCTATCATTTTGAAGGAAATATTGATTATTTTTAGTTCGATATGCTGTATTTTGAATCATTGCTAGATCAGAGAAGGCTTTATTGTAGTTGTTTGCAAAAGGTGTGTTAATAGGTTTGGTGATGATGAATTGGTACTTTGCTGAATGCAATGGCCCAAATTTGCAGCTTAAATAGTTTTCTAGTGTGCCGCAATTTAAATGATTGTCTATGATACGACCCACTAGGATGCATAAGGCTAGTTGTCCACTTTTTTTTGAGAATTACTGTGTCCTTGTTTCTATCACGCTTTCAGCCGGCATTATTTAAAAATTCTGTGTTAGAGACACAACTCTGTAAGCATGTCAAGTAATTTTTATGAGTGACAAGGTTGGTGGGCATGGTTGGCTGTGGATGTGCTGGTTGTGAAAAAAGGGGTTGAATATGACATCAGTTTCTTCTTGAATTCATATGTAAGCTAGAATGGCACAGTGCATGTACCAGCTGTTTTTTGCAGCCCTTATACTATGGATTTTTCACATATAGCCAGCATTGTTGGGTGTTTGACAAATACCGAAATCATTCATGCTGTAGGAGCAGTTCAATTTTCTTGCGATGATTTACAATCCTGAGCAAGATTGCTTAGTGATGCTGTAGTTTATGTACAAGAAACACTTGTTTTCTTAAAAAGGGAGAATCCACTATTTTCCCACATTATTATTTCCAAAAAGCATTTCATGCAGTTCAGCAAGAATGCTGTACCCAAGGAATTATTATCAGAGACAAAATATTCTGATGATATGGAGACATTGGAGAAAGGGTGAGAAGGATATGTAATCAATGATGAAGATCATAGTGTAAAAGGTGAGAACAAGCTTACAGAAAGTTCAAAATCTTGTTCTGATGATATTGTAGATGTGGAAGCTCCAGGTGCTAGTAGTGTTGTGGATATTGAGGAAGATGAAGATACAGAAGTTGATAATGAAGAGCCTGCAGGTAAATATATTGCTAACTGTTGATTCCATTATCTTACCATTATTGCAGTTATTCCCCTCCAAGCTCTTGTTGTTTTAGACCTGTATGCATCTGGAGTGCAAGACAATGAGTTACTTTCCAGTGCATTAAAAAACATTAGTGCCACTGATAGAGAGCACAGATTGGCCTTAAGGAGAGGTAATCAATTTATCAATAAATACGGTCAAAAGGATAAACATGGCAAACCTTCTCATGGTAGTCCTGAAAATCCAAATCATCTCCTTGATGCATTTCCATACTTGTTTCCATATGGAGAAGGAGGCTTCAAAGTCAAACGCACTAGAAAAGTTACATATGAAAATCACGCTCATTAGACTATGCATTCACTTCAGTCAACCTCTTTCCATAGCCTCTTAGGCACATCATTGAACCATAACTGATCAGCCTAAGAGGCTATGGAAAGAGGTTGACTGAAGTGCATGCATTATGCATATAAATGATTTTGCATGGATTTGTGCTTTATGTTTCAAGTCTTTGGAGTCATTCAGAAGCAACAGGTTTGCAGCTTGGCATCTATTTGAGTTAAACATCAAATATTTCAACGGCATTAAGAACAATTTCAACCATTAACATTAGCTGATTTGCTGAAGGCCAGTGATGAGGAGAAGAAGAAGAGAATGATAACAAATCTGGTTGCTTCAATGTTGAAGAAACACTTGTCAATAGTTAAAGCAAAGATTATGGGAACTGATGAGTCTAGAGTGGCATTGAGAAGTTGCATTTGGAGTATGGTTTTGATGAAAAGCCCACAGTATCTCTGGATAACAATTAATCCATTGGATTACCATGATCCTATAGCCCAAGTTTTTGCAGGAGTGGACATTGACTTAAATTCTTTTGTCAACACTGCAGGGCCACTATCATCCCGTCAAAGTGAAATTATTACTGGAAATCCTTATGCAGCATCAAAATTCTTTCATTCTATAGTAAACACCATTTTGGAGGAATTATTTGGTATAAAAGTGGCATCAAAGACAGAATCAGTTAAGATCCAGAGACGAGAAGGAACTTTAGGCACTGTGGAAGGTTATGTGGGGACAGTCGAGGCACAAGGCAGAGGAATGGCAATCAAAACATTAAAACAATTGTGTCAATCACCAAAGCAGATGTTGAAAAAGCTATGGAATGTCACCTGCCTGCTAGGGAAATGTTACACGCAGGTGCTCTGAACATTGCAAAAGAGCAAGGTATATTTAAAGATCAATATAAAGTTGGAGGAAGTCAATATGGGAATGCAAAAAACGTAACGGAAGAAAGTGAAGAGCGCTTCAAACAATGGAAAATGTATGGAAACAGAACTGATGAAGACAAAATTCAAGAACCAAATGAAGAAATGATCATTCCCTTTAATAATCCGTATTTCAGATACATTGAATATTGTCAGCTAATTGACAGAGATTCTACTGCCGAGCATTTAAATGACAGACAAAAAAAAGCTTACACCATTGTCACAGACCAATTGCAATCTTTCCTAAACGGAGAAAATCCATCCCAAATCTTGATGATGGTATTAGGAGAAGCTAGAACCGGCAAGACTACACTGTTAAAATCAATAATTCAATTCTTTGAAAATCATGGAGCATCAGACCACTTAGCAAAAACAGCGACCTCTGGCATAGCTGCAAGTCTCTTGAATGGTTCCACTTTACATTCTTGGGCAAAGTTACCCACAAGGGGCACATCTAAGGATAATTGACTTGGCACACCATCAAAAAACATAGAGAACTGGAGGAAGGAAAACATGACCAAAATACTTTGGCTCATAGTAGACAGAACAAATAATATGGGGAACAAATAAATACTTACAAATACAAAGGTTTGAGTAACAGATCCAATTTAGAATGATATATTGCACAAAGTTCGAACAGGCAATTGTGACAAAGAACACCTGCATACGATAAGGGAGTTAATTATTAATAATCCTGACAGCCCTCCTACAAATTATGGCACTGAGCCTTGGAACAACACTATACTAGTAACACTAAGAAATGCTGTCCAAACATACTGGAATGCTACAGCATTGGAAAAACACTGCAAACAACATCAGAAATTACTATATATATTTTAAGCAGAAGACACTGAAAAATCACCCCTTATCTTTACAACAAAAAGTAGCAGCAGCTAATAAACTTGATGTTGAGGACACCAACAAATTATCAATGCAGGTGGAAATAGCAATAGGGATAAAAGTTATCAGCCAATATACTGCCAAAGGCATTTTTAGCAAATAAATGTAGAGCACTATACAATGTTCTGGCCTACGTCACATCAAAGGGCAACCAGAAAATCTGTTTACTGATAGCTGGCCCTAATCCCATTGATTCTACCGGCAATTTGCTCATTGCAAGGCAAGTATTTAGTTTATCAGCTTATCAGATGCTAACAGTGCTCCCAACTACAGCATTGACATTGGGAAGAATGCTGCCAGCCAAGGGTTCACCAAAGCATGTGCTATCTTCAACTTGCACATCATACCAGCCTTCTCAGAACATGTCTCTGCGTGCTTGAGTGAGCCCCCCCCCCATATTGCCCAGTTATCAAATGCACTGACCTGATATTCCTCCTTAGCCGCAGATGTAATTGCAAAATGTATCCCTATGGACAACAGTGCTAAGGGCAGTAGCTCTGACAATGTGGGCGATGAGGAGAGAAGCAGCACAGAGGAGGATAAGGATGAACCCACTATTGATAGCGCCATGGTGGGTGATGACATTGAGAAAGAGGGCAGCAGCAACAATGAAGAAGGTGGCAATGAAAACAGTGTTGACAATAACAAAGAAGAAGAAGAAGGTGAGCTTGTCACCAGTGTCTACATCCATGTTGCTGGGTTGGTGCAGTTACAATACTCTCTACACAGCTGCTGCAACTGCTGCAATACCAAGTCATACTCCTGGGCAATACTTGGGGTGCCTAATACTGCTCAGATGCATCAAGGGCAGTTGTTTATGGAGGTGCTCCTACAAAGCTCACTCCATACTGCCTATACATTCATCCCTGCCAAGTCTGCTAATATGGCTCAGCACCCTGCTGCCATCAACTTTTATTCTAGGCAGGCAGCTGATAACAATGCTCCCAGTGCATTCTTTATCCCGCTTCTATCACCTACACCCCTGTCTGCTTCAAGTCCCACACCTGCAAAAAGTCCAGTCCCACGCAAAAATGCTGAGGCCAACATGCCGGCGCCTGAGCTGTCCAGCGAGAAAATGCGACCAAAAAACTGTTCCCTCTCAGCATGCCCAGAGGGACAATGTGATTGGCCAAGGACCCGCGGATATGGAGAAACCTACCACAAAGAAGGGGAAGAAGAATGTGTGTCCAACAGCCAATGATAATGGAAAGGATTCAGCCATTGCACCAATAGGTAAAAATGACCTCATCCAATTAGCAGCAGCACTGAAAAAGAGGATATTACACCTCCTACACAGGGTAAAGCCCCACCAAAAAAGGGCAAGAAGCCCGTGAACAAAACAGATGTGGGGCCAAAGAAGCCCTTCTGTATCTGCTTTATACAGTGGTGTTAATGTCAGCTCCCCCTGTAGGAAACATAAAATGTCTACTTGAGCCACTCTATCATCTTATCTTTGCAGTGCTTGATCATTTACATTTAGTGTACATAGTAGTTATGTAGTTAAATGACAATTATATTTGTGCTTGCACTATACTAGTACTTGTGTCTTGCTATGATATTGGAACTTGTGTGCTCTATGAAGTTTGAGGCGCTGTGTCACTCACTGTACCCCCACATTGTTGCAAACACAATTACTAAAGACTATACATCACCATCAAGATTTTGAATTACAAGTGTACAAGTGGAGAACAAGATTACCATGTTACAGAACAGTGCCAGTGCCGGTACAGTACCTAAATACAATATCATAAGAATTTGCAGTCACTGCCACTAGGAACATGGGTTGCAACTTCAAGGGGGGAGGACCTCAAGCGAGGTAGTTGTTGCTGGTAAGTTGAACTTGTGCACAAGTGGGATGAGTTTGAAGGGGCATAGTACAAGAGAGTAAAGGGAGGGAACCAATTGAAAGAAGCTTGAAGTGGGGAGTAAAGGTCGTGTGGGTGGGTAATGGGAGGGAGGATAGTGGAAGGGAGCGGTCAAACATTTCAGGCTATATAGGCCAATGAGTTTGAATGGAGTGTGCAGGAAATGGTGGTACATACCTGTGCAATGTTGTGCAACTGCAGAATGTTATGAAAGTAGTGCACTACTATGGTGGCAGCGTGAGGCACTATGGTGGGTAGAGCGCGCACAGATGGGTAGGGGAGGGAGGGTAGCAGAAAGAGAACGGTCAGGTATCTATATAGGCCAATAAATGGAGCACACAGGAATGGTGATGCAAGCCTGTGCAATGTAGTGCTTGGCAGTTGCACTACAGTGGTAGCAGCACAGCGCAAGCTTGGCTTTCTGTGAAAGTGGTGCAAAGTTGTGTACCCAGATGTTGCACAGCACTGCAGCCACTAGTGGAGTGTTGCAGGAGGGCTCAGTAAGTGTCTGAATGCATTGCACCACACTGGACTTTACCTCCTCAAAGTGTTGCAATATTTGCCTACAATTACCACCACCTGATGATTATCAATATAATTGCACCACTACCTTCCTATTACTCTACACAATTTCTTGCACTAATATGACAGTATAGCTTGTTTTTGCACATTACATAATCTTCCCACACATACATAGCAAAAACCCGGACACCACAGTAATGACAACCTCAGTCTTCTCCAAATAGACTGAGGTATGTTAAACTGTTGCTATAGATCATCACATCAAACTCACAGTATTTTCTAGTCACTCTTTTTCCTGGACACAGAGGTTCCAGGTTTCCATTTTGACATTGAAGTTTTTTTTCTTCCCTGAACTTTTATACCTCTTATGTACCAATCCATTCTTATTTGCTTTCCATTCAATGCTTATACTGTTGTTAACCGTCAGCTCAGATGGGGGGGCTATTTGGACGTCACAGAGGTCACACAAGCCAAGTTAGAGCTCCGCTTGGCACTATCAGTGGTTGAACATGATTTTGAGTGTGGCACACCTGAACGTTTTGAAACTGAGATTGCAGTACCTTAGTAGAGCATTACTTTCTTGAAAGTCACGCACATGGAAGGAACTTGCTCAATAATTCAGAATTTTGTGCTAGGAAAGTTGGAGTAAGTGGTAAGAATATATAGAACTGCTATGGGTTGAGTTGTTGAGGAAAAAAATGACAGTGGAACATATGTTTACAGAAATGTCTGAATAGCTCCCCCCCCCCCCCCCCATCCGAGCTGACGGTTAACAACAGTAGTGACTTGTGTGGTAGCAGACAGAGCCACATCCTGACATACAATTTGTGGAGCACCTATAACTAAGTGCAGCAGAAACTGGGTAAACAGCAATGATTGGATAATGTGAATTATCAGAGATACCTGCAAAAACTTTACCTCGCTGTTTGGTACATCATAGAGATGAACGCTAATGCTACGGTAACTCACCACAACAAGGGGACCAAAATGCAAAACAACTGGGTCCAGATCTGCCCGGAGGGCCATATTACAGGTACATCATAATACAATACTGAGTCTTCTCCAAATAGACTGAGTCACTCTTTTATTACAGACAACAATATAGATACTTATACTGTAGTAATATCAGTAAGCTATCAGATGAGAATATATGTAGTGTACTCACAGTCCAACTGCCTTGCTAGAGCTAAGGTAATTGAACTGTGGTCCAATGTTTTGGTACTATATGGCTGTACATAATAGTAATCAAATAATGGAGTACTTGGAGTGGAGTCTATAATATGGGTTGTATATTCTAACATCTCTTATATCATGTCTGCCCACAATTTCCTCATATTCCCTTGTAAGATCGTAAAAATCAACTGAAAGTTTACCAGACCTGTAGTTTATCTCTAGCATTCAGCGGCGACCTTCCAGAATATTGGCATTATTTTTACAATGTATAAACTCTGACATACATGGCAGACCTTCTGGTATTATGTAAGAACCATGGAATGTTTTGCCCTACAATCAATAAATCAAGCATATTGCTCATGTTGTAGTCTAACAATGACTATACCAGTTTTCCAATATGCTCTCCTTAATATAACCTTGTAAATTTCAATGTCCATGGCCAACCTTATATAACTTTGTACCTACAATCAATAAATCAAGTATATTGCTCACATTATATTCTAACAACAATTATGCCAGTGTTCCAATATGTTTTGTTCTTGATATAAGTTTGTAAAATCACAAATTCCAGCTGGAACTTCATCTGGCCTGTAATATATCCCTAGTGTTTACAGATCTCTCTGAAGTAGTAGTGTCATTTTCACGTTAGATAAACTGGGACATGAATGGCAGGCCTTCTCCAGTGTTTGACAAGAATCAAACAAGTCCTTACCCCAATGGGCAAATTAATGAAACATTGTGATATAATATTTGTATAGAATATGGATGTTTCCCCATCTTGAAATGCTTCAGCAAAATTTTCATCAAGTTTAAGGGTTTCATATTTTCCACGGGAAAAATGAATACACGCATTATCATTAGCCTGATTGGCCATGGAGGTGTTTATTACCAAGCCTTACTTACAGTTCTAAAGTTAGTTAAAATAATTACAGTCATTATTGTTATTTTGGCCTTTATGAGGGTACTATGATCACATATTAAAAAAATCAGATTTTGTTGATGTAGTCCTCTAGCCAAAGTTTCAAAGGACCATTTATGACTAGTCTCATGTAGGCAGCCCAAAAGATTCAAAGAAAGATAGTTGTTCCTTCTCAACAATGTTCTTCTTTCAATGGCACCACTGATACCAGCATTTTATACCATCACGTTGGTTTTACACTTCTGAGGTGACTGCCAGATGTTGGCATGTCATAGTGTCAGCAAGCTTATGAGCTTGTACCCTTTTGCATCACCATAAAATTAGTTTCAACATTTGTATTTTACAGTAATATTCTACTGTTATGCTATCTAACGGTTCTTTTAATACACCTTGCGCACCTCAACAGTGTACCAACTCCTTTTCTGGTTCATTCAATAATCCCCAACCTCAAACTTCCTCTCCAATACAAAAGAGAAATGATTGGGAGAACAACACTCTTGGTGGGTTGATGACCCCAACAGAGCCCAAACAAATTTGAAAAATGTATGTAAGTTTTTGGCCTTGTAATTTAAGCAAATTAGGGACTTACATGATAAATGTTAGCCACTCATGTATGCCAGTGAGGCAGCCCAGCTCCACCAGAAGGACATACACACCACACAGAACCACTGAAGACAAATTGGCAACCATTTCCACAGCTATTTCTGCCCTCCGTTGGACACTTGGCGACTTCCTATACTGTGAGCTGCACAGGGCCCATTCAAATAGTTGAGCACTAAACCATGCACTGTCAGATGCATCTGCATCTTCTTGAGATGCTGAATGAGTGAAAACAGTTTGTGAAGGCTCAATCTGCACAAAAGGTGCACAACAGAAAGATCCCCAAGTCTTTCAAGGAGATCATGTCTTGGCATGCTACATTGCATTCATGCGTGATACTCTGGTATCCCGAGAAGCTGCATATGCTGTTGCAGAGGGTGATATAGGCCATGTATAGGAAACAATGAAGGTATGATGTCATTTTTGAGTTTTGGGCAATTTTAACAAATTGTGGTACACATGTTATGCTGTTTACATTTTCAGGGTCAACCCACACAAAATACGTCAATTACTTGCTTGAAACGATAACCTCCTTGGAACTTGAAGCCAGCCCAGAGCTTAAACAAGCCACTTTGAAAAACTCATTAGTCAATCTGACTGGAAAGGCTGGCTTGTTCTGTGCACTTGATTTTATGCAAGAGTCTTTCAACCAACTTTTGGAGGCTATTGTTCAATATAGAGGTGCTGACTAGGGTGCCCCATATATCCATAATGTGATTTCACGCAACTTACATCACTTTGAAATTATCAAAAAAGAACTCAAAGAAGGAGTGGGGATTTTAACTGGTAGTGGTTGCCATTCTGCTCCTCATACCCGCCCAGAGGTTCATGTCCTTTTGAAGGTGTACCAAGAAACTGAACTGCACCTCCGCAGACCTGGACACTATTTTGAATCGCCAAAGTCAGCAAATACAATTGATAATTTTTGAGCTGGCTTTCAGAAACTATCCGACAGCAAGGTTGCAAACTGGGTCATGGCACCTGTATTCACATGCCTGTCATGGGAAATATGTCTGTGCTGGATGGTCAGTTAGTTGTTGACACTAATATTGAGCAGTTTGCATTGGACTGGGATGACAACAATGGTGATGGCCAAATAGATGAAGGTGACGAGTGTATTATATCAGATGCATAATCTATCACTTTCTGGTACGCACATCTCATGCATGGTTCATTATATGGTATATTCACAAAACTTATACTAGGTTATAACAGGCACTATATAGCCAATTTTTTAGTCTTATTACTGTGCACAATCAATTTGTCAACTGGTCAGAAATGAGCTATATGTAAAGTCACTTACAAAATGTCAATCCTCCACCGGATCTTTGGGATTGGTTCAGGCAAACTGTTGTCTGTTACAATTGATGTACCAGTACCTACTTACACTTCACTTTTTCGTACTTTACTTTTACTTTTTCCAAGTCACATGATCAGTCATGTGACCATTTACTTTACTTTACATTTTTGACTTTTCATAGTCACATGACTGGTCATGTGACTCATCACTTGACCAATGTCTAGACTCATCATGTGACTGGTCACATGCTAAACATTGGACTTTAAACCTTACTTACAACTGTATAGTACATATGTACAAACAAACCTGTAGTAGTATATATACCCTAATAGATCAAGGAGACTCCTCAGCGAGTCCTCCTGTTGTCTAGCACAACAAACCCATTGAAACCTGAGAGGTGATCCCTCCTTCTCTCTTCTCTTTTGCTTGTCCAAGTTGTGCGCCAGAGTAAGAAACTCTTGGTCGTTACATTGTCTTCCTTGCCACTAGCATTATCTGTGAGTATGTCTTGTTGACATTGCAAAATGTCTGGTGTATTTTGTGTGAGAATTGATGACCGACGTGGCTATTGTGGCAAACTGTTGAATATGGTTTGAAGTTTGTTGATCTTCTTGAGTAGAGATGAGTGGAATAAAAGGTATGTGGTTTATAAATTGCAAGAGTTGCTCCACTGTGCTATTATTGTGATATTATCTAGAATGCTGGTTATTGCACTGTTAGATAAGAATACTTCTGGAGGCAGGAATCCACTTTGCACAACATCAGCTATTTCTCATTCTTCATCTCACCATATTAATAAGTGTTTGGATCCAAGTTCTTGCATCTCTTTTGTTATATGCATTTGCTGCCATTTTTAAGTTTGATTGGTTGTGTTATGTATAGCTGTTGGCTTTGGCTGGCATCCGCTACAATCACAAATGTGTTTTGAGGCATGTGGGGGTGCTGCTCACAATATGAGCAGCCACAAGGTTGGTCTTCTTTGGGAATCATAGAGCTTGTTAAGCTTATTGGTTTTGCACGTTGCCATTATTAGCTCGGCCATTGACCTGTCCATGGAGGTATTGCTTGCTTTAGATACATTGAGTAGAGAGTCATGGCTATCAGAGCCTTCAACCATTTCCTGAGCCTCTGCTAGTCCTGAATGAGTGATATAAACAATACCTCATGGATCAACAGACCTCCCAAAGTGGATGTGGCCTATCTCCTGCCACAGTTCATCAGATTTGTTTGGCTGCCCAAAAATGACCACATCATCAAAGCTCAGTACATCTATTCCAACAGACAGAATGGTGGTGGCAACAATAACTTGAACATTGGGATTATTGTCACGCCACAAGGTAAGAGTTTTATTATTATACTGTTTATCGTTCAGGGCATTGAATAGTCAAATTTGTTTTGTATGTGCAGGAGAAGCGGATACTTTATCCCACAGATATGCTTCAACATGAAAGCTGAGCAAAATGTTGCTGCAAAATATCAATGTCTTCCTGTGGCCCTCCAGTATCCAGTTGAGTTTGGGGAATCTTGTTGACTGCATGCCGACTGTATAGCATGGAACACAATGTGAATATCATGTCGCATATTGGAACATCGTATGGTATAACATTAGACTCAAAGCCAAGGAACTTGCAGACTCTGTAAGTTGGTTTGCCAGTTTGGAGCATAACAGTAACAGCAATAATGGGGACACTCTTCCGCAATTGTGCTCACATCCATCCAATTTTCTCGAAGTCTTTTTGAAACTAAAGGCCCCAAGTATTTATGAGGTGAGATTCATCAACCCCCATCATACATACACGCTCATAGAATTTTTTACCATCCAGCACAAGTGCAAAACTGCGAGACTTTAGCTGCTCTGGTGAAACTAAAACCATGGTGATACCACTGCAAGCTTTTTGGAATAGGTTGTGCCCTTCCCACTAGGCCATCTTTACAGTATCACCATTGATAGCTAGTGCCAACAATTTTGCGTCACACATTTTAGTTTCCTATATTGAAAATAAATATAGTGTGGAATGGTTTCAGTAGACAACAATACTGACCATCTCTTCCTTGAGGGCTTTTGTAGGACACACTATTATCATGGCAGGAATCTCTGGAAAGCTGGTCCCTGAGAATCAAGATGGGTTGGATGATATTGTTCAGATGATATGCATCAAGTGTATGAATGTGTTGGTTTTGCCAGAGCCTGGTTGCAGTGATTAAGAGGACATCTTCATTGTCAAGTAAGTGACAGATTGCTTTGAGCTGAAAGTCATGCGTGTCATGGGGCATGTACTCTCGTAAAACTTGATGAACAGTCTTCAGACCTTCAATTGACGAGAAAATAAACTTTGAAGCCCCCATTGAGCTCACACAGGATGTAGACGCACAACATGTTTGTTTGTTTAAGTCAGCACATGATGTATGCACATGATGCGCATAACTACCTAACTACCAAAAGGTCTAAAATGTTGACCTACCACCACGGACATGAAAGGGTTCCAGTCAAGCCATGAGAGGTATGATTTGCACACAAACAGCATAATTTCAACCACCTGGCTGGGATACTTCAAATATTATAAATATATACTTTGTGATAGATTAACTAAAATTTTAGCACTGTTCCAGAAAGGTGGATGAAAGTATGCTGTTTGTGTGCCAAATTGTACCT